GATATATGTGCACCCATGTTCATAGCAGCACAATTTGTAATAGCTAAAACTTGGAAGCAGGCCAAGTGCCCATCAACTAGAGACTGGATAAAGAAAATGTGGCTTTTTAATAAAATGGAGTACTCAGCCATAAAAATGAGAAATTAGAGACATTTATAGCTAAATGGATGCACATTGAGGCCATACTCTTAAGTGGAATAAATAGGACATACATGTGTAAATACCAAATAGTTTCTCTAGTATGAGAAACTGAAAGTGTAAATAAGGACTAAAAGGTAATGTGAAATAGGAAGAAAGGGGCAAAGGGGAAGGGGAAGTGGGAGGGGTAAGGGGAATGGAATTAATATGAGAAAATGAAAAAATGGAAACAAAGTCTTTGTAAATAGGGAGGGATGGAGGAGTTGAAGGGAGGGTGGGGGAACGGGGATAAAATAAGGACCAAGAGATTATGTAAAGCTGCAAATTTCCAATGATGAATGTCATTATATTGTATACCTAAAATGTACCAATAAAGTAAAAATTAAAAAAAACCTTGTGTGTTCTAAAAGTGACTCCCCATATGCTCAGGGGGCCCACAGTGGTGAAATGGCCAGAGAGGAATAAAAAACAAAAGTACAGCTAATAATTACTTTCCTGTCTTTCCTGTCCTCCCAGAGGGCCATCTCATGGTTCTTTTAAGAAAAAAAAAAAATTACAAAGAACAGAAAGTGACACAAGGAAGAAAGAGTGATGAAAACCCTTGATTGTCTCTGCATATTCTCCACTTTTTTCACTCTTCATTTTCTCACGTTGAAATGGAATAGAGATAATTCATGCCTTATAAAAACTCCTAATTTGGGCCTGGGATTTAGCTCAGTGGTTTCGCCGCCTGTTGCGCATTTCCAAGGACCCGAGTTCAATCTCTGCTACCAAAACAAAAACAAAAACAAAACTCCTAATTTATTTGAAAATCTTGGCAATATTTCTGGTTGCCTGAGTTAAATTTCCAATGGGAGGCAGGGAATGGCTTTACAAAAGGTGACAAGCTGGGACTTGAAGGATGAAGAGGAAGAGGTAAAGGTGCAGACTGCAATAACAAACAGAACCGAGGACACACAAGATCTCCATGCTGACTGGGAACAGAATGATTGCAGCTCAGGTCCATAATACTGTACACAGCAGGCAGGAACCTAGGAAGAGACACAGTTTGGGAAGGCCACATTGACCGAATTATGGAAAGATTAATGCCCATAAATCATTCAAATATCATTATCAAGTAAGGAGGTTCAAACAGGAGCTTAGGAAGAACATGGAGATCTAGATCTGGAAACCATCTCACGTGTAGGTCAAAGCCACAGAATACGTGCTTGTTACTAGTGTCAAAAGGACCCCAGACTATCAGAACACTGAGGAGAAAACTATAATCAAGGCAGCATCAAATACAGTGATGAATAATTTTTAACTGCCAAAAGCAAGTCAGAGAACTCTTTTATTCCTCTGTCCAAGAAACATGTTCTTGATTGAACTTTTATGTGGATACACAGAAAAATGCTGCCAGAGGATCCTGCGGGGACAGGAATACTTCCATCATGTGCCTGGCATTTTCAGTTCACACCTCTCCATGTGTGATGTCACCATACCTCCCTGTAACAATGCTTAGCTCAAAAGAGGCCAAGGCATCATTCTTGTCATAAAGATGAAGAAACAGAGGCTCAAGTGGCACCAAGAGGCAGAACCCAGCCCCAAACACAGGTTCTCTGACTCCCAACCTAATGGTAGTACTGCATCTTAGTGGCCAAAGGCATGGCCAAGGCGAGTCTCAAATCTGTGTGGATGTTGTTCTCTATTTTTCAAGTATTTTTATTTTCATTTTTTTGTAGCTTTAATGCCTTTTTCTGATTAAACATTAACATATTCTCATGGTAAGTAAACTCTAATTTTACAAAATTTATACAACAGAAAATAATCAGTCCATAATCTGTGCTTTCAAGATACCTGCTACTAATAGTTTGAAGTACATTCCAACAGTCAATTTTCTGTACATATTTTATGTATGCATGGTAAGAGCTGTATAAATGTGTGTCTGTGTTTGAATATTATTTCTGTAGGACTTGCAAATGTTTCCACTGGATCAGTTTCTGGAAGCAGAATGTTGAGTCAGTGTATACTTTATATTTTAGTATCTACTGCCAAGAAACTTTCCAAAGAAGCTGTACCCATTTCTACTGGTATATAATATGTGACTGACAAATATGATTACTAAAATGTAAAAATTCTATGAAAGACAAAAAGCACAAGTTGATATAATAAACTAAACACAATATTTCAGTTAATTCCCCTCATGTATGAAAATTTCTTACAAATCAAAACATAAAACTAAAACAATGAGCAAAGATAGTAAAAATAATCGCAAATGCAAACAGTCAAAAAAAGCAACATTTAATTCCACACAGTAAAGAAGTCTAAATTAAACAAAATAAAAGCATTATTTTTCACCCATAAAATTAGCCAAAGAAAAAATATTGAAAGAATAGAGAAATGAGTTCTTTGGAAGAATAATGATTCAACTTCTACAGGGCATTTTGGCCATATATGAATATTTTAATAATTATAAACTGAGCCAGAATACAAGTGCACAATAACTTATTTATGGAAATGTTTAAATGCACTGTTGCTATCTGTAAGAATTTAGAAACAACCTGTCAATCAGAAAATTTTAAAATTATGTTTAAATCATACAACGGAATATTTCATGGCTATAAAATATTTGATCATTTTAGCATAGAAAAGTGTTCATGACATTAAAATATACATACAATAATCTATTCATATAAATGTATCCAAGCCATAGGAAAAATATCTTAAGATACAAAAAATTAATTATAATTCTATCTGCACAGAGAAATGCCAGGTAGGTTTACACGATTGTTTTGAACAGTCCCCATGTATTAAGGAAAAAATTATGACCATTACCATTTGAAAAGAGATGGGAATCAGAGGTCCAGAAATAGATTATGTCCTAGATCTTTTCTCATTCTGAAACTGAATATGACAATTACGGAAATATTATGAAGGAGTTGTTTCCTGTGAGTTAAGAAAACCTTGCTCAAGATTTATTATTTCCCTAGATCTTTCTGGGAGACTATATTGCAATAAGCATATTTCTCATTCACATGACTTTTTACTTCTCTAATATAGTGGTTACATCTTGGCAGGAAGCGGGGTGGGGGGGGAGATAAGAGATGATAAAATCCTAGTCCAGGCTACACCTTTTTTAGGTTTCAGGACTCCCAAAGAAAGAACATCAGTGCAAGTCTCCAAAGTTAGGCCTCAAACCTAGAAATGGTCATTTCTTTTTTTTTTTTTTGGTACCAGGGATCAAACTCAGCACCTTGTGCTTGCAAGGCAGGTGCAGTGCCACTGAACTAAATCCCCAGCCCTGGGCATTCATTAAGATCTATGTGTATAATATTATCCTATTGACATCAAAGATTACCGCTTCTGTTTTGTAAATCCAGAAGAGAAGTTAAAGCAAACACAGCACATTGGATTTACAGTATACTATCAAACAGGATTATCTAACCTTTACTCACCACATTTTTAAGTGCTCATAAAAGTATACCCAAATATTCAATTATGGCTTCAAGTCTTTGTTTACATATTATAAAAAAAAAGTGAAATAATTACCTCTCCTATGAAGACTACTATGACACAGTCCAACTTCTCTTCGGGATACAGGTTATCAATAAGGGAATGAAGAGTTTCTATGAGGTAAGATTTAACTTCTCTCTTCACTGTGGGGATTCCCATTACTATTGAAACTGAAACAAAATAATATAATAATTATATAAAAATATGTTACAGGACAATATAGAAAAACACTGCTATTTCCAAAGTATTACACCTTCTTAAACTGATAGGAATATCAGTTTGAGGGATTCTATTTCAATTTCAGAAAGAAAAATAAAAGATACAAAGGGTGTACTTATAATACTGTAATTCTTTTCCATATGGCTTACCTATTAAAAATATGTAATGTCAGATGACTGATAAAAATAAGAGATTAAACCTCACACTAAAAATAAGTGCTATAAACAGCATATTTTATTATAAAACTTAGAAATAAAACAAAACTTAGAAATAAACATACCCAAAACGTAATGTCTTACATATCAACTCCAAGGAGATGACACACTGAGAAGGGTATAACATCCTTCTGTGGTTGCCTTGCCAAAAATGCATAACCTCAACCTAGCCAGGAAGAAACATCAGACAGATCCAAACTGGGGGACAGTCCACAAAATAACAAGCCAGAGCTCTTTCAAGAATCAAGGTCATGGAAGACAATGAAGAACTGTCCCGGGTTGCAAAAGGCTAAGGAAACATGACAATTAAATGAAATATGGAATTCTGAGTTGGAACCTGGAGCAGAAAAATGATGATGAAAATGGCAACATCTGAATAAGAGCTCAGGTTAGTTAATAACCTCAGGTCAATGTTCATCTCCTGGTTTGCTCACTGTACTATGGTTGTCTAAATACTTGGAGACACTGCTTGAGAACATAAGGAAGTTTTGTACACTGCAGGTCTAAAATTACCATCGATTCTACTATATTGCTTGTTCTGAATGCAGATCTCTTCCTACACGATTAATACACTGGTGAACAATTTGGGCACAATGTGAATTTTACATTTGGTTATGTGAAGCATCCCCTCTAAGCTACCCACTAAGTAAATAACAGAAAACTCTACCTAGCTGAACCAAATTCAGAAAACTGAACCAAACCATGCAGAAATACACACAATGCACACACCTCAAACATCTATTAGTGGTCTCAGTTCACCACAGGCAATGAACCACCCCATCCACATCAGGTGTTACAGTTGCTTAAGACCTCAGATCACCTGCTGTGCACCTCAGCAGGGTAACTTGGAGGTGCCGCCCTGCCCTCCTGCATCCACCTTAACAAGCGAACCGGGAGTCTTCCAAGGCAGAGTACTGTATTTATTATAGCATTCATGTGTACTAATCATTCACCATGTGTAAAACTGTACTAATATCTTTATTAAGTTCTTATCATTTTTATGTGGAACTAATAAAGTTGAATGTTATGACCCTAATCCCATTTTCCTCATTTTATAGCATAATTTTGTATAGTGCAATCATTTGGGGGAACACATGTTATAGAACTGACAGTATTTCAAAATGAGGTTTTAAAAATTACACCTTAAAGTCTTAGTAATATATGTGCTATAGTAGAGAAGTATTTTTCAAATGTTAAAAATAATTTAATCTGAATTATGAAACAATTTATTGGAGATGCTATAAAAGAATTCATGGAATTCCAAAGCTGGAAGGAAATTTGAAGATCACAGACCAATTAATCTACCATCACGATTTTGCAGACAAGAATACTAAGGTACCAAGGGTTTAGGGAGCTGCCACTGAGGTTCCAGGCCATGTCCTCTCTTCCCTTGTAGGAAGAAAGAGTCATCAGTGACTCAAAAAGGGATCTGCTCTATTGGTTCTGCACATATTTATGAACATCTATTAAATGCAAGGCTCAACTCTAGGTGTTGGGCATATAATGGTGAACAATATAAATAAGACCCCTGCTCTTGGGGTCTATGTAGAAGTGGGGTCATGAATCAATAGTGTAATTGGAGAGGATGATGTGGACTAAACAAATTTAAATGAGGTCATGTGAGAAAGGGCAATGAATGGGGAGGGGTAGCTCTACAGGCTGTGGTCCTGGAAGGCCTCTTTGATAACAACTGAACTGGCAATGAACAAAGAGAAGGAGCTGAGAAAGAACATTCCAGAAGAGGAAATAGCAGGGCCCTGAGGGGCTAATGCTCTTGACATAGTCAATAAATAGCAGGAAGAGAATGTATCTGAAGCAGAGTGAGCCTAGATTCAGATAATTAGTCAGGGGTTATAAACAGTTTGAATTCTGAGCACAAAAGAAAGCCACCCAAGGATGTAGGCAGGAGAGTGACATTATCTGATTCGAAATTTTAAGGGATTACCAAGTTTTGTAGAAAATCAAAGCATTGTTTTAAGAGGAGCAACATCATCATGGGGAAGATCAGTTAGGAATTTACTGCACTAAATTACAGGACAGGGGGGTTTAAAGTAGGAGATCTGAAGAGATGGAGACAGGGACAGGTGTGAGACTGACTAGGGACCCCACCCCCTATGGGCTGCAGCCAGGGAGAGGCAAGCGAGGGGAAGGGTCAAGGACAACTCAGAAGTAGGTGGGAAAGGAGGTGTCTCTTACTCAGAGAAACACATCTGGGAGGAGAGGGAACCAAATCTAGATTTCCATTTTGACCACGGTACCTTGAGATGCTAAAAGACAGGATGAGTTACCCTGGAAGCAGATTTCCATACACTTTAATCTACCTCAGAATTTAAATTTGGGATGTTTCAAGGTGGGGAAGAACTCAGTGGTGGAGGTTCACTTCCCATTTATGAGGCTCTAGGTTCCACCCCAGCATCACAAACATACAAACACACTTAGAATATAGGTTAAAAGTTGAGTAACTACGATATGAACCATTCCTAGGCAACACTAACTCATATAAAGTTCAAAGACTTTGAAGAAAAAGCAAACACTATTTCAGAGTATGCAAACAAATGTGGTCTAAAGTAATAATGCAAATTCTATATTCTCTACCACTCAGGATTTTTCATCCCTTTTTATCTTGCTTTTGTTTACATGGCATGTTTAAAAAATAAACTTTTTTCTCAAATATAGTCTGTTTTGATGCTGAAATTTAAATTCTTTAGTTCAAACTGAGACACTCAAAAGACCCCGAAAGCACTGAAAATGAAAGTACTGATTTTGACCAAACTTAGAGAATTAGAGTAATTATGCATGTGGTATTCACAAAATGACCACAAAATAGGTGGTTTTCCCTGCCTTCCAAGCCATGGTAAAACTGCACTTCTTGGTCCCCTTCTGGTTAGGGAGAGTGTTCTCACTAGTGACTAGTGAGGACAGCCCACGGGTGACATGTGACCTCTGGGGTGCTTCTGTCTGCAGTCTGAAACCTTCAGGTTGTCAATTCTCCTTGACAGGGCAGCCAGTAGCACTCACAACGGTGACTTCTCTATCGGCTTGGGTCCCTAAGTGATCAGTGAAGAGGGAGCCCCCTCACCCATGAAGGGCTTGTACTATTGCCAAAAACAAACATTTGTTATGTAAACCTCTGAGATTTGGGGGTTATCGGGTACCACAGCATAACCCAGCCTGTTCTTGTGTGACACAAAAATCTTCTGAGAGTTACAGTCTAGGAAATATTTGTATCCTAAAGGATTGGATTTCAGGGGAAATACAGGGTGTGATCGAAAAATACAGTGAACACTAAACATTTTTTTTCTTAAATTTATTACAGTAAAAATCATATTCCCATTAATCCCAAAATACTCCTCCTCATGTTGAATGCCCTTTCCATCATTCTCGTCACTTTCTGAAGCAGTGCTGGGGAGTCCTCTTTCATGTCTTGAGTTGTGCTGTTGCAGCCGCCTCAATGTCCTGAATCAATTCAAAACATTTCCCTTTCATGGTCATTTGATTTTGGGGCAAGAATCAGAAGTTTCATGGTGCCAGATCCAGTGAATAGGGTGAATGAGGACATGTTATAATGTTTTTTATGAGCTTGACTTTTCACTGCATGGCACTTACCAGCAGCAGTCTCCATATTTATCACACCTTGTAAAGACCGTTGGGAAAGAAGACTTCCAGAACTGTTCCAGAAAGTAGCAAGAATGATGGGATGTATTTTAAGCAAGCAGGAGTATTCTGAGGGGGATTCGTGACAATGTGGTTTTTGCTGTAATAATTTCTAATTTAAACATTCACCATATATTTAATCACATCTCATATATGTCAGCAAAGTGAAGAATACTTTTATAGAGAAACAAGAAATCAAACAGAAACAGAACCAAAGAGTTGGCTAAGTATTTTGTTTCATGAACTATTCAGTATTTCCAATTCAAGTATTAACTGTTTATATGTAATATTTATTACGTACTAGACAATCTGAAATACAATCATAAGATTGATAAGGCCCCTACCTCATGTGTTTTTTTTTTTGGTGCCGGGGATCAAACTCGGGTCCTTGCGCTTGCACAGCAGGCAGCAAAACCACTGAGCTAAATCCGAGGCCCCTACCTCATGTGTTTTATGACTTGCCAGATAGCAACTGTTGCTGTTTCTGTTTTCTTTCCCTTTCCTAGGAGGTTTTCGAATTCTAGGACATATTTCCTTTAAAATCAAGAAAAATTTAGGAACTCTCTTGATTTGACATTCTTAATCTTTAGTCTACCTTCAGTTCTAACTAAATTATGTTCCTTTTTAAATATTCATTGCTAGTCAAATATTTTTAACCCATCATATTACCCTAATGCTTGACTTTAGTCATCTATTCCTCATTCTCTTCCTTATACTCCAAAGTAATATCCTGATTCTACTTGCTTGATGCACCGTCTGTGTCTCCATCTTCCCTGGCTTCATCTTTCTCTTTTGCTGGAAATTAACTTCTGGGGAACTTTCAAGGCTCAGGCCTGGGTCTGATCTCACTCACACACACTTTCAACAACTACTCATCCACAAACAATGACTAAAAAGATTAAATCTAACTAAGATCTCACCTTGGAGTCTCAGATCTTAATATTCAGTGAGCTGATATCTTCACTGCAATTTGTCAAAATCACCTAGAAATTCATCACATCCAAATGTAATATATGATCGACCACTCAGGCCATCCAGAAACTAGGACTCATCCTCGACCACTCCCTTCAACCTCAGTCCACAAATCCACTCAGCCACTTTATGTTCCCACATACTCCAAACAACTCCTGAATCCACCTTTCTTCCATCTCTTCTACCTAATCCAAGTTCATCCTCTCTCAAGCAGTCACTGAAACAGCCTCTTATCTGATCTTCCACATCTGCTCTTCCTCACATACCTTCCATCATTCTTCCTGCTGCAAGAAATGTGACCTTCGCAAAATTCAAATCCCATCAAGTCATCCTTCCTAAGTCCTGTTGAAAATCCTTCAGTGGCTTCCTACTGCTCTTAGGATACAAACCAAAACCCTACAACTGTTCTCAAAGGCCCTTTGCTGCTTGGTCGCGACTTGCATCTCTAGCCTCATCTTGTTCCATGCTTCCCCTCACGCTACACTTCATCACTGGGAAATCTTCTTTCATCTTCTAGAATATTCTATGACCCCATCCATCACAAGACTGCTGTGGTGCTCTTCTCGTTTTCTGGAATATTCTTTTCTCCCACTGTGATAGAAGAATAATGACCTCGCAAAGATGTCCACACCCTAAATCCTGGAACCTGAATGTGTTACCTTGAAGGGGGTCTTGAAATGGGAAGATTATTCAGTGGGCTCACCATAACCACAGGGGCTGCACAGAGGAAGGCCAGGGGGAGAGAAGGGGGAATATAACCACAAAAGCCAAGTAGGTCACAGCTGGAGAGCGATTTGAAGACACTATGCTTGGAAGATGAAGGAAAGGCCCACAAAACAATGTGGGAGGCCTATGGAAGCTGGAAAGGACAAGGAAATGGTTCACCCAGAGCTTCCAAGAGGAACACACCCCTGACAGCACCTTAATGTTAGGACTTTTCTCCACAACTGTAAGATAACACATTTATGTTGTTTTACCTCACTGCAGTCATAGTAATTTGCTACAGCTGTAATAGGAAACTAATGCACCCACCTTCATTAGTAAAAGACAGTCTACTGGTCTCAGGTGAAATGTATTGTTTAAGACTTCCCTAAGCTCTTTAATTAGTCTACAGGCCTCTTTCACATGCTCTCAAAGTAGCCTTTACATCACTAACTGAAGTTGTAATTAAACAAGTATCTGAGTAATTATTTGACTAAAGCATGTCTCCTGTACCATAGAGAAGCCCCCTCAAGACTAGGACCCACCGAATTCTGTTAGCCAAAGTCTCTAGCAAGGTGCCTGGTACACGGAAGGTGCTCAGGGACTTGGACCTCAGCAGATAATTAAAGAATCACCTGCTGTCTCCCACTAGCACTGTGCTTCCAAATCAGGGGATAATCTGACTCCCCTTTTCTCAGCCCCACAACTCTGCACTGAGGGGCCTTTATTGGGAAGAGCTAGGTGCTTCTTCAACTCAGGAACATTTTCTTCTGGTATTTGATTACTTCCTCCCTTGGGCTGTGTGCTCTCCCCTTCCATTCCTCACACACTTTATATTGTGTGCTGAAATAACTATACCACTCCACCTTTTTAATCACTAATATGATCTTTAGCTGCACCTGCTCTTAATTGCGCCATCTAGATGGAAGTTTTAAATATAATAATAGAAATAAAAAAGACAAAGGTTTCTAACTGATCTTTTCAATTTCACTGTTCCATAGGTGAGCTAGGTCCTCTCCCACTCCTCTAAAAATACACGGGTTATGTTTTGTTCTCAAATCACACTCTGCTCTGCAGACTCAGTTTTTGTGAGGACTGGGTCACCGTGGAGTTGATCCTGACCTGTGAGAAGGTCTACCTGGAGCAGGAGTCCGTCTGCCCCTCTGTAGCTGCTAAGTCTGTCCTCTAAGTAAACTGTGTGGGAAGACATGGGTGGCGCTGGTTAGTGGGAAGGCAGTGTTTTGTTCAGAGGTGAGAATTCCAGTCCCCTCCCTGGAAAATGGCCACTGGGAATACTGCTCCCCCCTCTAGCCTGAGGAAGGCACCCCTGCTCCCTAATTAATCAGCCAGGCCACTAAGAACAGAATTTTCAGCAGGGAGCTTTCTTTGATCTAAAGAACAGAAGTCCTTTTTGGGGGAGGGGGTGAGAAAGGGTCTTCACTATGAAGTCCAGGCTACAATCCTCCTGCCTCAGCCTCCTCAGTTCTGGGATTACAGGCATGCACCACCATGCCAGGCAAGACTTTGAAAGTTTTAAATGACTTTAAAATCACTTCTGTTTTGTTTTCATTTGCTATTCTTATTGGTGAGGATATAGTCTAAGCCAATAAAACCACAACTGGCTAAGACATCTTATCTAAATACTAATTATTAAAAGGAGAGATAATATTGGTGTCAAAAATAACAATCAATGTTATAAAGAAAATAATTTAGAGTTCCTATACATCTTGTTAGTCCATATATCTAGCTTCTGTAGAATGCCTGGCCTCAATTAATGTTTCTTGGCTCAATAAAGAAATGGAAGAATGAACTAGCTTGAGCATGATGCTTTAAGACTTACCATTTCCTGCCGAGGGTGGTGTCATTTGCCTATTTTCCCAGCCCTCTAGGAGGCTGAGGCAGGAGGATCACAAGTTTAAATCCAGCCTGAGCAATTCAGTGACTTAGTAAGATCTTGTCTCAAAATAAAAATTTACAAAAGGCTGGAGATATAGTTCAGTGTGAAGGTCCTGGGATCACTCCCCAGTACCAAAAAAAAAAAAAAAAGGTTTCCACCTCCTTAAGGAAGATAGCATGTTATTTTAAATGATAAATAAAAAAGAAATATGGAAGAACTAAAATAAAACAGGATGAATTATAAGCTTTTAAGTATAGATTAAGAAATATAAGAAAATGCAACCAAAAAAGAAAAGACAGAAAAAGGTTGCTACTGAATCAAAAGCAGCTTTTCAAAAATATTAACAAAATATCAATGAATTTCAATATCTAGGAAGTAATCATTTTGTCTCTTGTTTATGGCTTGTAAGGGAACAAAATAATATTTCAGTCTCTGCGTTCCAAAATCCACAAATAGCCAGGCACAGTGCATCTGATGTTCTGGCTACTTGCAAGGCTGAGGCAGGAGTATCACTTGAGCCCAGGATTTCAAGATCAGCCTGGCCAACATAAGGAGATCCTGTCTTTTAAAAAAACTAAATAAATTTTAAAATAAAATCTACCCAAAAAAGGTTAACAAAATTAAAATGAAGGAGTAAAAAAGTACAAAAGAGTTATAAACAGTTTCCCTAAGGAAAATTCAAGCAACTCGGTGGCTCTGACAAAGGAGAGATAAAAATATCAATTATCTTGTGGGTATTTTAGAAAAAGGTAGCAAACCACGGTGTTTCTACGATTGCATGAAAAGTTAAATAAGAGTGATGACACAACCCTCTAAGAAAAAGTAGGACAGACAGAGACCAAGCCTTCCTGGCACAACTGTGAGAGCTATTAATGTTGGAATAAGATACAAGGGAGAAAAGCCACCCTCTACCTCCCAAATTTGAAAACAGAAAAATGACAAAGGTTTAACCATTTGGCTCCCTGAACTTGATCATCTTCTGTGGGGTTATTCTAGTCTATGGAGAAAAATGCCCCACACTCTTTTCACCTGGGCATTGGACTGAGTTCCAAGTCCCCGAGCAGAGAGAGAAAAGATCTTCCTCCTCTGCTGCCAAACTCTAATGGTCACCACCATACATCAAGTCACGAGTCAGACCACGGGCAGGGCCACAACGTACCTCCAGTTCTCCCACTGCTGATCTGCACAGCGGGCTGCAGGCTTCCTTCATTCTGCAGTAAGTGAGGCAAATGATAATAAATACTTGGCACTTGAAGAGATTTTTTGCTTGTTAACTCCTTCAGTAGCTTTAAGGTCGTATCTGAAACGCAAAAAGTCTATAATTAGTCCACAGAACATTTTACCTCATAAAAGTAGCTGCTTTTATAAAGATAATAGTAAAAATTTATTGAATGTTCTTTCCTAATACACTTTGGTGAGTGAGCTCTCCATTTAAGGTGCAAAGGACCCCTGCATGATCCAGTCTCCTGGATGGTGCAGATGAAACAGACTGAGGAAGGGCGGGGGGGGGGGGGGGCAGAAGTGCCCGGAGGAGGTGGAGCACTGATCAGTCGCCTCAGGGAAGCCCAGAGCTCAGACCCACGGGACAGGCACCAATGTGCTGTCCACCTACAAAAACGTGATGACAGCAAGCACGCTGGCCACCAGTATCCTTCCCTTTCTCTATCTGTTAGCGTTTTGCCAACATTTTCCATGGAAGATCTCCTGTTTTCTGGAAACCCAAATGGAAACAGGACAAGTTGAGAATATTCAGTATGGATCATAACCTTCAAATAGTTTCTGTTTTTCTTTGAGGAACCAATAAATCATGTAATGTATTATGAAATAAAATTTAATTTAGCCTGGTGTACACATGTAATCCCAGCTACTCAGGGGGCTGAGGCAGGAGAACTGAGTTAGTGGTCAGCCTTGGCAACTTAGCAAGACCCTGTCTCAAAATTAAAAAAATAAAAGCAAAACCAAAAAGGCTGAGGATGCAGCTCAGTGGCAGAGTGTTCACCTAGCTTGAGGTCCTAGGTTCAATCCCCGGTACAGTAAATTTTTTTAAAAAATAAAAAAATTTTAAATAGCTTTGGGACAAGTCCTCAGTGGTAGAACACTTGCCCAGAATGAATGAAGTCCTAGGTTCAAACCCCAGCACAGGGTAGAGAGAAAGAAACAAAAACCAAACACATGGTTTAATTATGCAATATTATTTTAAAATGTCATTAAACTAGAATTTAATCTTTCAAACAAGGAAGCTACGAGTAAGGACTTGTACCCTCAACTCCTTTTAAAATATGACAAAAGCTAGCATGGTGGCACAAGCCTGTAATCCCAGCATCTTTGAGGCTGAGGCAGGAGGGTCATAGGTTTGAGGCCAGCCTGTGCTACACAGCAAGTTCAAGGCCAGCTTGGACTACATAGCAAGACCCTATCTCAGGAAACAAACGAGAAAATGATGAATAAAAACTTGCCAAAAAATACAAATCACTGTCATATAAGAAACAAAACTTTAATTCTATGAGTAAGGAAATACAAATTTCAGTATGCCTTTTTCACCTATCAGAATAGCAGATTAAAAAGCAAATATTGGTGATAATGCAATAAATGTCTCAACTACTTAGAACAGCATCAAAAGCCCTAAAAAATTCAGTCCTACTACTCAGTAATTTCCTTTTTAAGAATCTAGCTTTTGCCAGGCACGGTGGTACGTGCCTATGATCCCCAGCACTCTGGGAAGCTGAGGCAGCAGGAGTTCAAATTCAGCCTGGGAAACTCGGCAAGACCTTATCTCAAAGTAAAAAATTTAAATGGGCAGGGCCTAGGAATGTAGCTGAGTGACAAGGCCCTGGGTTTAATCCTCAGTATCAGAAAAAAAAAAAAAGAAAAGCTTTTATGTATTCAACAATGTTTAGTAGTTTATCTTGTTCTAGGAATGATACCATAATGTTTGAAAATCAACACTCATCAAAACATGCTGGTTTTGAAGAAGTCATTGTCTAATGAAAATAAGGGCTAACAAAAATGTGATCAATTCATATACAAAGATGTTTATCACAGGGTTATAAGTTGAGAGCCAAAACAACCCAGGGAAAACTCATTCGACTAAATGTAAAAAAAAAATGTTTATTATGGTATATGACTGACTGGTTACAGCTACTAAAAAAAGCATTCTGAAGAATATTTAATGACACAGTAAAAATGCTCATGGTTTAATTTCAAGAGTAAATATTTTGAAGAAAAAAAATGGATGGGAAAAAAGGACTGCAAGGAAACAAAAAATCTTAACAGAAATCACATGGCACCATGCTTCTGGTTGGCTTTTTTATCTAAATTATTCCATAGTTTTAAATATTACTGTGACAAATATACATTTATCATCAGGAGGGGAAACCAGGACCATAAAACTTTAAAAATGAGGTAAAGTCGTGGATCTCTGGATGACAGAAATTCATGTTTTTGGTTTCTTTAGAATTTCAAAAATACATTAATCTAGAAAGATTGTGCAGATCTGAAGGCAGCTTAATTACAAACATATATCTATTTGATTATCAGAATAAGAAGATCACAAAAGCAAAGAGAAGATAAATGGCATTTATCTTACTCTGACCAGATATCCTTAGAGAAGGGGACCAGGTCAGATACCTCCAAAAATATCCATTATAAAACCATATATCTTCTTCATTATTATTCAGATGAAAGAGCACTAATTACTCCAAGTAGCACAGACTTCTCCAGCCATCAAGTCTACGTGCAAGTTACCACATAAATAAGCCATCAGCAAAAAGTTAAACTTTAATCTCATTCTGAATATGTTTTCACAGGATGAAGGTTCTTCACTACTGTCAATGAAATTTATATAACTGAAATTTAACTTGTAGTACTCTTTTAAAATCAAATTTAGCATTTAATAAAAATGATTTTATAATTTACCAGAACAGAAAGTTCTGTGTCTGATTTTTCTCTCTGAAAAGTATTAACAAACGCTGGCTGATAATTTCTCTACAGGACTTTCAAGTAACATACTCCACGTAACCCATAGAAAATGTTATTTTTTTATAATACACAAACAGTATCATTTGTACCTGAAAATTTATTCAATGCATCCTTACTTCCATTTGCTTCTGCTCCTACACGCCGGAACTGTTGTACGATGGTACTTAGCTCAGAAGAGCGCTGGGAGATTCTGTGTTCAGCTATTCGAAGACGTTCTTTTAAAGCAAGAAATTCTCGTTGATAAGCAATTATTTTTTCTAGAGGCAAAAACAAAAAACAAAATTCCTTAATGCATTTTTTAAAAATCCAAACAGAACTATAAGAGTAGAAATTTTCATTGAAACTGTAAAATGTTAAAATTAATACACTTCAAGCACAACATTAACATTTCTCAAATGGTACAACTATAAGGACCATATCTGTGTCAACCAGACAATGCAAAGCTGTTAATATATACTCACAGGGTGAGTATAACGTATTTTACAGCATAATGACTCATTTCTAGAAGCTCAATGTTTCCTCTCTACTTCCGATTCTGCAAAGATTTCTCTGGACCAGATGTTCACCAAATTCCTGATTCCTAAAAACCCAATAAGCTAGGCATACAATAACCCTGCTTGAGTGCTGTTTGTTTTAATGAGCTGAGAGAATCACAGGTCAAGAAAAACTGGATCTTATGAGGATGACTGCAGATATGAAAACACTGGGTACAAATGAGCACACTCAGAGCCAGGCAGGGGCCTCATTCACTCCCTCACCCTCGGTGCCGCATGGGGCACAAGCGTGGCTGGAGCAGCCAGCTGCCAGGCTCACAACCTCACTCAATGGAGAGAAAACAGGGCAGTGGTTTTCAACTTCTCCACCAAGCTAGACAGCCACCAGCTACTATTCTGACACAACATAAGCAAACTTGTTTGTGAAATTTAACATGACATATAAAAATAAATAAATGTAACATAATCTCTGCTTTATTCAAGGGTGAATTCAGTAAGAAACAGATTTATAGCATCTGAATCTGCATTTTTCTTAAAGCTGGTCTTGAAAACAAAAACACTGCCAATTATACTGCTGATACTGTTTCTTGTCCCCATGTCGGGATGCAAAGTACCTGCTAAGGCTTCTGTGGCAGGGAAAAATTTATCTTCGGCTTCACTGCCACACTTGCCTACATTAAGTAATGAAGCCACTCGAGTCACTTCCTTCCCCTAGGTCTGCGGGCTTCAGGAAGAGGAAAGCAGATGGGGGTGGTGACCAGGACAGGGCACACAGGGAGGCTTGGGACGCCAACCACATTTTAGTATTGCTCTGAGTGATGTGGTTTAATGAAGTTTGCTCCTGTACATGAAGTTCACTCCTGTATATGCATGATCAGGGCACTTTCCTGGACATATAAGTTCACACTGAAAGAAAAGTTAAGAAGTTACTATCCACAAATACAAAACTATAAAGAACGAGGTACAACGCAACACACTGTAGTCCCAGATTCTTGGTAGGAGGCTGAAACAGGAGGATCCTTTGAGCCCAGAAGTTGCCCAGGAGGCCAGCCTGGGCCACATAGCAAGAATCCAGCTTGGGGGGGGGGGGAACGACTCAATCTGGTAAAAAATATTAAATTCTATCCTAAGCTAAATAATAAACTCATTCAATACCTTTCAAAATAAATAATTCGGAGGGGGGATGCTTGATGTGTAATTCTAAAATTCATCCAGAATAACATTTTTAAAATACTGAGGAATGATTTAAATGCCAGCACAAATACTGATGGCAATGGATTATGATCTACTGAATAAAATAAGAATCCATGAGTCTGTATCAATAAAGAAATAAAAATTAACAGATGAGGGGAAAGGGTTTCTTATAGCAGATTGCCAACTAATAAATGTAGAAGGAATGACAGGAATTTGCCATTCTGCAATCCTCATAGCAAGATCTGATTCAAGCCAGCATCAAATATGGACTCTCTGACTAGAAGGGGAAAGTCTGATGACAAGATATGTAAATATCTCAAAGTATCTTTTTACAAAGGGGACAACACTGATCTCACCGTGGAGACAAGGTGGTCTTAATGGAGTAACCCAAGTTCGCAGAGATCGGGCACCGTCCAAGGCAGGGCACAGAACACAGCTCCTCTGTGGTGTTTCTGCCAAAGTGCATCATCCAATTCCAATCTTGAGGAACCAGCAAACACATCTAAACTGGGGTCTACACATAAACACACACCTTCTACTTAAACAATGTCAAGGTCGTCAAAGACAAAGCCCAAGGAAATGCCCAGGACTGAGACAACTACAAAACAAATGGCCAGTAGTCCTGGACTCAATCCTGACCAAAAAAAGTGATATCAAGAACACTGCTGGGGCTGGGGATTTAGCTCAGTGGTTTCGCTGCCTGCTGTGCAAGCGCAAGGACCCGAGTTTGACCCCGGTACCAAAAAAAAAAAAAAAAAAAAAAACACTGCTGGATAAATAACAGAATCTAGACTAGAGAGCTGATAATGTTGTACTGACATTAAATTTCCTGAACTCTACCCTGACGCTCAGAAAATAAACACTAAAATATGTAGGGGTAGAGAGGCACGATGGCTGTTCACTCTCAAAGGATTCTGAAGAGGAAAAAAATTCCTAGAGCTAGGAGGATGCTACAGTGTTCACAATAGGTGAAATGTATACAGAAGTTATTTTCACTATCCTTGCAACTGTTCAAGTTTTGTTTTTTTTTTTGGTACCGGGGATCGAACTCAGGACTTTGCACTTTCAAGGCAGGCGGCAGAACCACTGAGCTAAATCCCCGGCAAACTCATTTTTTTTAATGAAAAGCTTTCAAAAGATTAAGCAGGACTGAGTGGCAGATACAGGCTCAGTCCTTCAGCAGCTCTGGGTGTGAGGGAGGGACATGGTCTGAGAGCAGTGTCTATCCCTGCGTGCATTTTCTTAGCGTGTGCGTGCGTGCATGTGTGTGCGTGTGTGTGTGTGTGTGCGAGAGAGAGAGAGAGAGAGAGAGAGATACTGGGGATTGAGCCCAGAGCCTTCATACTGAGCTATATCCACAGCCCTTTTAAATTTTTATTTGAAATAGAGTCATGCTAAGTCGCTCAACTGTCCAGGCTAGGGTTGAATTCTGATCCTCCTGCCTCAGTCTCTCTGAGTGCTGGGATGCCAGGTGTGTTCCACCATGCCTGGTTCAGCACATTTTAAAAAACCAGCCTCCCTGAGGGGCTAGTTTTACCAAGCAGGAAGAATCACCAATGCCTGTAGAGGAGACCCCTGTTTCCAAAATGCTCCATGGCTGTGAAGGGAACTCAACATACTTTTAGAAAGTCATTTAGAGAAGATCGCTTGGGCTGCAGGACTATGGATAAGGGCAAAAATATTCTTAGTCCACAACCCAAGGCTATGAAAATGCTCCAGATGGGGCCATTTCCCACCCAGCTCACTTCTGCCCTTTGTTCCACTCTGCTCTCCACACTGGAAGTTTCCACATGGCAAGGTACACTCATCCTCCATCTAGAATGCCAACTCAGCTTTCTACAAGTTCCCTATAATTTTCCCCATTCACCTTTCCCATAAGACTCCTTTCTTGACAAGAAGAGTACCAGTTCCCTGCAGTTTCATTCAAACCTCAAAAGTAACGACGTTTGACAATTCCCTATTTTCATCCTTAGTAATAAAATGCCAATCTTTGCTTCAAATCATTTCAGTCAGCTTCTCTGCGTAACAAGGGCTCCCTTGAAATCATCCTTCACTCCCTACTTTTGCCCTTCTGCTCCGCCCTGCTCTTTAGGCTGAAAAGCAGCCCCCTAAGGTAGATGTGAGTGGCCAGATTTTTATTTTCAGAGGCCAGTCCTTGGGCAGGTTCTAGAGAGGACAGCGCCCAGCTCAGCCTCTGCACCCCGAATACCCCCACGCTGAGACAGTGCCCTGAGGAGCCAGTCCCTCTATCTTCTTTGGGGCCACCTTTGAGTAAACCCGATTCCTTCCACAACTCCTGCCCCCTGAATTTTGGTCATTTCAAGTGAGGAACAAGCTGGACATTTGACTGCAGTAACATTTGGGGGCCGCTGCCAGAAAACCAAGGGATTTTCAGGCCACCCTCCTCCTAGAAAGCACCCAGCAGTGCTTGTTTTATTTTTTTAATAAATGGAACTTGTTTTTAATTATAGAAAATGATATATGGTATATCCAGATTAGACAAAAGGGCAAATCATGTCTTGTGAAGCTAAGGATTTAAAGCACAAAATTAGAAAATAAAAAACTGACATTTGATCCTTTTTTGCAAAAATAACAATTTCATATGATTCAACAATTTAAATAACAGGCCAGGGCTCAACAACTTAAAAATTTATCAATGAATAACACTAACACAAAAACAGTAGTAACATCCACTGTGTAGCACATAAAAACAGAACAGAAAACCTCTTTTTTTCCAAACAATTGTACCATTTTATTAGGAAGATATGGGGAGGTACTACTGAATTCTATGCGCTAGCATTAAAATTCTGCAAAATTAAATCCACTTTTAATGTTTTAATTTTTTAAATTTCAGGATAAAACAATAAAATTCTGACACTGAAGAAAATGTCCATCAGCCAGTCATCTGGCTCACCCCTCCTTCAGTCCCTCACTGGATATCTCCACACAGAAATATTAAGTAAATAGATACAAGTGAAGAACTCCTTCAGTAACATGGTTCAAAAACTCAACAAGCTTTATTTTTTTAGGGATTGCCACTGCCTTTGAAAAAAATGTCTTATTTCACTCTTTAATTTCACATTTGTCATTGTTACATAACCAATTTAAAATAGAAATTTGTCTGGATGAAATTGGGGGTGATTTCCCACTTACAAACCTCTAAAGAACTGAGCTCAGAAGGACAGTTAGAAGAACTGAAGCCTAGAAAAGCCAAAAGATACAGTAAGCATGAGTCCAAATCCAAAATGTTGAAAGAACAGGATCTGGACAGATGATTCTAAGTAGGAGGGAGCCCAAACATTATAAACCAGGCATCTGTTTCCCCAGCCTCAATCCCAGCACTCCAGAGGCTGAAGAAGGAGGAATGTAAGTTCAAGTCCAGCCTAGGCAATTAGAAATTTAATGAGACCCTGTCTCAAAATTTAAAAAAATAAATTTAAAAAGGGCTAGGGATGTAGCTCAAGCCCTGGGTTCAACCCCTAGTAAAGCAAAAAAAAAATTTTTTTTTGTTTAAGCCACCTGAAAGTTATCCTGCCCTCACCTTGTCCTACACCTAGTCTGACCTAACT